ATATATAAACAAAAATTTGTTTTTTTTATGCAGTTTCTATAATTTACTTAGAATATAATTTAGAAGAAAAAAGTTTAAGTTAAATAGCAATTGCTCTTGATCAGCGAAAAATAACTCAAGACACATTTAACAGATGTCGTGTAGGGCATGTACTTGCTAACACACGCTTTATGGTACAGCTCAAAGAGTTTTTATTTCTGAGATTGTGTCCTATTTTTTTTTTTTTTTTATTTTATTCGAGACGAGAGATCCAAGTGTCAATAGATTTTGTGAAATAAGTAATAAGTCCGGAATTGATTCTAAATCTTGCCTTTTTAAAGGCACCGGGCTTAATACTTACAAGGTAATATACACCTTGTTCAGTGTTCTAAATTTTAAAGGTGAACGTGCCTTTTGCTGACTCCTCTTTCCAAACACTGGGTCGGTGTTGGTAATGGTTAGAGGATAAGCGCATTTTAGAAAGTGATTTTTCTAAATTTATTTGTTTTAAGTACTTTTGATTTATTTTCTTAAAATCAGTGCCGAGTATATTGAAGAGCCCAAGGATATTCCCAGGCAGAAGCCTGGGAAGAAGATCAAAATGAGCATGGAGGTACAGACCAGCGGTGCCCTCAAAAACAAATTCAATGCACTATCGGACCGATCGGACATGGATACAGACAGGGAGTTGAACGATATAGAAAAGTGTCACGGAGAAAGAGAGCTAAGAAGAGGAACCAGAGGGAAATGTTGGACAGCAGCCATCCGAGTCTGGCAATCGAGAATCACCGAACAAGTTAAGCAAAACACCTGAGAAAATACCACCCATCATCATCAAGGCAAACTTAGAATTGAAAACAATAAAGTACATCAGAGACATAACTAAGATCCAATTTAGATATCAGTTTTTCAACACGCAATTACACAAAATTTTTACAGATACAATCCAGGAACACGAGCAAGTTAAAAAGGTATTGAGAGAATGCCATTACCAATTCTACACATACTCGATGAGAAAAGATTTGCCGAAGAAAATTACAATGACTGGACTTCATCCTTCGATACCCGAAGCTGAAGTTTGCGAAGACCTCTTATTGAAAGGAGTTAAAGTCAGACAAGTGATACAGATCAAACGAAAGTTATCGGATGGCAGCCAACATAAGCTGCCCATATACATTGTCTCTCTGGAGAAAGATCAAGACATGTCGGAGCTGAAGCAAATTAGTAACATTGGAGGGCACATCTTCTCTTGGGAGACATACAGGTCACAAAATAGGGCTCTACAGTGTCACAACTGTTTGAATTTTGGACACACATCGTACACCTGCGATATGAAGTACAGGTGTATAAAGTGCCTCGAGATGCACGCGCCAGGTGCGTGCAAGAAACTACTAACCGAGGCACCGATGTGTGTCAATTGTAAGAAAGAACACCCGGCGAACTATTCTCAGTGCTCCGCACTCCTTAATTTCATTGAGAAGAAGGAAAACGATACTCTTAAGAGAAAAAAGTATATGCGCAGCGCCACTCCAACACCAATGCCACTGACAAGAAGTTTCTCGTCAGCTCTAAATCCGACAAACACCGGCCCTAACTTCAAACCTGATTATCCTCAACTCTCTGTCCCACGGACATCATACCGACCTCCGCTGCAGTCCACACTATCACCACGGCCTGGCCTTCACCATCACCAAGACCAGCACCGATCCGGCCAACACCATCAATGGTCGAGTTTACAACAACCAACCAGTCAGATCCAGATCTCAACACTCCGGAAGGACTCTTTACTGCTATGGGCGAGATCAGGAAGCTATTTGCGGATCCCCAGGTAAAGCAAATTTTCAGTGAGCTATACAAACTGACAAAAACACTAAACACAAACATGACTTATAACGACAAATACACAACATTTTGAACTTTCTTACATCATCACAATAAACCAATCGCAAGACTTACAAATAATGCATTTCAATTCTAATGGACTTAAAAACAACATTGACGAACTGAGACAGACGATAACAAAATACGATCTGGACATAGTACTGATTAACGAGACACACTTCAAACCTACGGACAGACTCTATATGAACAATTACAAAGTTACAGAAACGACAGACAGACGGACGCACGCGGATGGGGCG